TATAAAAAGAGAAAATCTGGACAGCTGCAACAGAACCGTGGCTGGCCTTACTATGGCCAGCGGAAAAAAGCGAGGAGGAAGAGAGAAATATAAAAACTATGAGAAATATTAAAAATGCGTATTTGTATACATGTGCTATTATATTATGACACATTGTCTTATACTTGCGTTGAATATACATTGCATGCATCTATACAACTTGAAACTTTCATATGACTATCTTGTAAGGAATTTGTTATTATATATTTATTCTGGTATCATCCTTTGTTTGGATTGAATTCATATTTAGAAGCATACATAGCTTATTCTGTTAAATATGTATTGCAAAACTCCCGCCTATTCTCCAAAGTTTTAGAAGATTATCGAGAGTAAGAATCAATAATATATATATGTATGTAAACACTTAAATTTGTATTGTTACGTAATCTAAATTCTCTAGAAAGCCGCCACACGCCTATAAATATAACCAATGCGACGCACCAAAGGAGATTATCTATTATTAGTTTGCTATAGTCAGTGTGCTATAAACTTTGGAAGCTATAACTGTGATTGCTATAACGTTTATCAATCGGAAAACTTCAGATATTTGACCATGAGCATTTACAAAGTTCGAACATTACAAATCATTTAACTTCAGTGGATTCTCAGCGAACATTAGAATTTTTACGAAAACATTACATAACGTCATGGTGGAAAACTTGGTGTGTGTGGCTGATACATTACGAAAGACATAGCTACCTAGCTTCCCGTTAAGTGAATTATACCTACGTCAATTTGTAATCAACTCAGTCATCGTGAACCCTCGATAAGATATCAAAAAAGTTCCAGACTAGAAAGAAGACTTTATATTGCTTGTAAGTTTGTGAAACTTTTGTTTATAAATCATTGTTTGTAATAACTGTTATTGTAAATTGTATTACTGTGTGTATATTAAAACGTATTTGTGTTAAAAAAGAAAACTGTGTATCAATCTTGTTGGCAAATATCATGAACTGACTATATATCGACTTTTACTTAACTTCTTAATCCAAAGTACAATTTAACAACTAAATCTCAATTACAAGTTAATTCAATTTCAGACTATTTGAAATTCTAATACGTAACAATCTATATATATATGGTTTACAACTTAAAAAAACAATAAAGACCTGCATGTGTATATATATATATATATATATATATATACA